GGTGGATGTGTGTCTAGGTATACCGTTGTATGCCAGACACGAGAACGTGTTGGTGGGCTGATCTGGAGAAGGGACAGTACAGCGCAGCACTGGAAGGAGCTTTGGGTGCAGGATGGAGCCGCGGGGCGCGTCTCTGTGGCGACGCCGAGGGTTGCGCTAGACTGCAAGACCCACTATTTCTTGTACAAGATGGTGCTTCACAGACTCTGGCCCTTTCTGCCCTGGCTTAATTAGGTGCCTGCCTGTGATACAGCGGCCTCGCTGGAAAACATTATTACAGGTTAATCGGCTAGTACATGCATAGGACGCTGGGGCGGCGGGTACTTGGCTTAGGTACGGAGTACTACTTAGGTATGGAATTCTAGATGAAAGCGGCAACACTTACAAGACAGTCGCTACTTTAGTTAAAGACAAGCCAACAACACCACGTCTCTTCGTATCTACTACACTTGAGGTGCACACTACCTATATCAGTCAGTCACAGGTCAGGCAGAACTCGGGAGCAATGAAAGCCAACACGCAGTACTACTGCCCAGTCCTTATTTTTCAATAATTGTCAGGCTGTGGTGAATTGGCCAGCTTCGAATTTCGTGTATCACGATTGGCCAGTAAATGTCAGGACCTGAAGGCGTACGCGAGCTGCACGTCTGGCATCCAGCCCCCAATCCTATGCCTGTGATTGAATCACGAGGCAAGAACAAGAAGCTGCGGCCTGTGAACCGCAGAGGGACTTGGCTTACCTAACTTGGAACAGGGACGGCCGGTTACGCCGTGGCGGAGCTAGCTCCAGGCCGTGATGCGGATGCAGAGGGCGGCCACGCAAGGCCGGGAAGATTAGGTCGCAAGACAACTGGTGAGAAAAGCCAAGTGACGCATGAAAATCACCCACCCGGTAGCTAGCAGGATAGCGATGCGCGTGTGCGTGGGGTGCGTGCAGTATGGGCAATAACAGCCACACGGGTCTTAGCCTGGGCAGTTAAGATACTTGAATCTCACTTATGAGAATAGGTAAACTATACATGCGGCTTTAGAAATCTAAAAACGGGATGAGACTGAGTAGGCATAGGCTGAGCGCATGTTAAATCCCCCAGAGACCCTCTCTACTATACAAGCCCAGTCTCTGTAAACGGGAAAAACGATCAATGAGGAGGGGTCAAGGCATTACTAGGATTTGCTGACCTTTTGACTCCTCTATACTTCGTATAATACTCATAGATGTTGAAGATTTGGCTTCCGAGCATCAGGTATTCGGCTATGAGAGCACGGGGTTAAATTCAACTATAATCAGGCTCGGGATGATGATGGTGGTGTTGTTATTGTTGTGGTGTAAGAGGAATGAGGTACGGTTGCGCAGCCGAGCCTATCAAAGAGGGGAGATCACAGGACTGGGTGCATCGACGCGTGACTTACAGTGTGCTGTACTCCGGTACCCACCCGGGGTACAGACGTACCGAAGTTCATAAATGAGGGTACCTACCTCATGTATGACAGCATATTGCCGTAGGGAAGGATTTGTAGTGCTACTGATTAGTACTTCTGTCTTAAACATCCTTGCTTAAGTGTCTTCTCTTTGCTTATTTGGTTTATAGGGCAAGTTAATGCTACACTCATAGAGTTCCTAGGATGCTTTCAGAGATATTGGTCAATATTTGCTGGTATAAAAAGCATCGTGAATCATTGCCAAGCATACCAGTCAATTGTTTCCTTTGCACGGAGTATATGGGAGATGAAGGGGAACCACTCGATCTTGTGGTCAACAACACTTGCAGCTAGAGCACCGTGGACCAATCAATAATAATAGCAATCTTAGATTTTAAATAGACGGATGTATCTACGGGAAATACCGTATGCCTATTCCCATGTATCTGGTACCGGCTCACGTCTCAGGTAAAATTCATGCCATTGCCCTGCCATTGAGTCATTCCGGCTCGGTACTTTCAACAGAAAACTTTTAACAACTAAAAGCTTCGGCAGGCTACCCTACCTCTTTTCGCAATGCGTATGCCCTGCCCTCAAGTCTGGCCCAGAGAGTTGAGACAAATCCTGACCAGTGGACTGATGTTGGGAGAGTACTTGGGCCTAGGGATTAATCACGGCGATAACTGGCTAGAATTCCACCGAAATCAAGGACTAGGTGTCTCAGAGCTATGATTTTTTGGCCAATCGAAATTCTTAGTAACCATCGTGATTTTGATTGGCGGTATTGGCCAAATTACAATTGGCCGGCTTTTCCATCCGCTCAGATCTCACCTTATAGTATTACATGGCCCTGTCGTGCAGCAGTATTGCAAGACAGCTTGAACAACTTCAAGTTGAAACTGCCTAGGCACTGCACGGGTGTACTATGGATAATGCTGAACATAAGAGCTACTGACTTATTGTACTGCCTTGGACGATACAGCAGATCATGCAACACTTCTCCTCGTCCAAGACGGCAAAGCAGATCTAGTTGTACTCCTGCCAATGCCGAACCCAAACAACGTGGATACCAATGCAAGCTAAACTTGTCCTACGAACCTACCGTGCGAACACGAACCCGCACCTTGAACTTCTCTGTGGGTAGAATAAGGTAGTTTTATGATCTACTTCACGACACCGACCAAATAAAGTTCTGTTTGCCTGCATTGACACCGATTTAGGATCGTGTCTACTCCGTACGAAGGCACAATACCAGGGTAGATCGCCTGCTCTAGACGCAGTGGTTACCCATCCAGGTAGGTTCAAGCGATTGCCGAATTCTTTTGCGTTGGAAAAAAAGAGGGGCATGAATGCTTCGGATCGACTTACTGTTTGTCCCGAACCCGTAGTTTATTTGAAGAGTGCATATATTGGTACTGGAAGGGGAACTACCGGTTCCAAGAATCTCATCTGCTGGGTGACTTATGTAGGAGCGACTTGTTAAATGGACTGAAGAGGCAATTGGGGCGCGGCCGGGGGTGTGGTGGAAGTAATCTGGAGACGTGGATATAGACGCCAGCGTAAGCCAGGCTTCTAGCTTGACTCCCAACCCGCCAAGCCAATCCGCCTTTGGGCGCGGCCAGCCTTCGAATCACCGCCGTCTCCAAATCCGCAGACCCGACAGCCATGACAACGCCTATCGTTGGGCACCGAAACGCCTTTGACGCTAGGCTCCACCGCTTGCATCTTGCATCTGTACAACACACCAAGCACACGACACCGTTCTGGGCAAGCCGTGATGTGATATCAGGACTACATGAAATTCGATACTTGCGTGCTCCGATATATGCTACGTCGAATCCATAGATCCCGGTCGTGATGCACGGCAAGACAGAACATTCTCTCGGGCCTGCATACTTAAGTTGGTGTCATGATGATATTCTGGCGATCCGAAAACCGCAACCCCTATCGCAGTTTTCTTGAATGACGGCATAGCCAAGTCTCCACTCATGCTCCCCATCCAGCTGGCCGGAATCGATTCCTTTACGATTGAACAACTTGAATATTGTTCTTTTTCTATCGAGACGACGTCTTAGTCCGGATCATCACGCGTTGCAGGGGTAGCGGTGTGGGCTGATAGAAATTGCGGCCTGGATTGGGAGCGATGAAATTCAATAAACCCACCTTCCACTTCTCTAGGTCGTCCTGTTTCGTCTTGTACTGCTTGACAAGATCATCGAGAACCTTTTTCAAGCCTTCGGCATTTGTCTTGAGAGCAGGGACTACATCCTTGACCGTCCTCTCCACAAGCACGCCGTTAATCATTCGAAAACATTTGCGGCCATCCGGCAACGGTTCCAAGGTCTCAAGCACGAGTCTATAATATCGCTGTGTAAGCAAGTTAAATAACTGATAATCAGGGGAGCGGTGAACTCGGCGGATAGGGCGGTGAACTGGATAACACCAGTCGGGCTCCACGGTCAGGGCTAGAATCCTTTGTACGGCAGATGTCTTTGGGAAGCCCACGCGACTCGGTGATGTAAGGAATGACAGGCTGATGCGCGGAACGACACTAACTTGTGCTCTTCGGCCTCCTGCTCGACGTCACCGATCTTTTGGGCCAGTTGCTGCAGTGTATTCTTGTAGTTCGCATATGTTGCTTGCAGTTCTGAGACTCGGTTAGCATGTGGTTGTGCCATGATTGGGCCGGTTTCACTCACCTTGCTGCTTCTTGGCGGGCACCGTTTTTGACGCCATGAATTCTTATGAGACTGAAATTCCTACTAGTGACCGGTTCGCATGGAGACAAAAGGAGATAGGGTATGCCGGAATACAATATGATTGAACTGCACGTGCAACAAGCAGAAAGGTGGAAGTTGTCTGGAGGGGACGTGTGGGGGCAAATTGTGGTCCATGCTTCATCGAATTCAAAGTGAACGCCCCACTCTTAGTTGCTGCCGCGCATCTGAATGGAGCATGCTGTGCCAGCTTGGTTACCTCTATCATTTAACATCTGCCAAATCGGACTCGCTGCTACCAATTGATAACAAATCCTCTTTCAAAAATTAAATAAATATGTTCATTCCAGCTCATTTGTATTCGTGATACTCCGTAGCCTCGTGGCCTTTGTTGCATTTCGCATTGAGGCTTACCATGGAGCCTTAGAAGCCCCGAAAACGGTTTGTTCAAAGCGACCAACAGTCGGAGCCGCTCTTAGGATCACTCACGATACCTGTCGCGACATGTTCAACACCTTGACCAAATCCTATGTCGCATATTAGATTTTATCAATCATTGCGATATATTCGAAGATATTACTTAGTTCGTCCTCAGAAATTGTTTAGTAGAGGCTCTGAATCAGATCTAATGCAAGCCTTGAACGGTTTGTCAAGAGAGCTCTAGCTAGGGCTTTGAACTAGTTTCAACAAGATGATGACAATTTCATACAAGCTCAAAACATAGCGACTTGCTAATAATTTGACCTGCAGGGCGAGAACATCATGACTGACAGCAAAATCTCGTGTGACCCGTTCGAAATCCGGTCATAGAATTCTAAGAGTTTACATGTAACGCCCTAAGCACAGTGAATTTTCAGTGCATCTGGCGTGATGGCCGAGTGGTTAAGGCGACAGACTTAAGTTCTATGAGGAGTTCTGTTGACGCAAGTCGCGCGAGTTCGAACCTCGCTCACGTCATTCGATTATAATTTTTGCTCCCATTGTAAAGTTTTACTGTGTAGGCCATAGCGCAACTCCGTATGCGTACTGTGTTTGCACCACAGCATTAGCCTTGGCAACTATGTATCCAGGTGGTTAGTGAGGGCCATTCTACTTTCCGAAAAGCATTTCCATTGCTACCAGCGGTCACAATTACGAATTGCACAGGACAACATGCATCCTCACTTACATACCAAAGACAATATCGGTACGTCAATTACTGCATCTAAACCAATTGAACCGACTGAATCGCCAAGAGCGCCAACAAACCTAGCTATGGGCTGACAGACAATCTTCGGCAGCATGTGACGAGGTCATGACTGCGCTTGAGGAATGCCACGAGCGTGGCTTCATGTGGAAGTCGATGGGCATGTGCAACGACGCAAAGCACAAAGTCATCCTATGTCTACGAGCCGAGCGACTCAAACGCACAGCCGCGAACCGAGAAGCCGCCAGGGTTAAGCGCGAGAAGGTCAAGAAGGCCTGGGCCGAGATTGACGAGAATTCCTGAACAACTTCTTCGGCGTGCCCGCGCCCACGCCTGCGTGTCCTGGACGATACTCCGAGCCAACTCCTGGCGTGACGCATAACTTGCGATACAGCCACTGGGGACATGGCAAGACATCAATTATCTTAGCTCGACATTACGGACCTGACTACTTATGTAGTTTGCCAGTCGCAAGATGCACAACCAATAGAATGGATACCCTTATTGTACACGAATCTGTCCCTGCCCATCGAGCGCTCTATCCCACCCTGATAAATTCAACCTTTCTCGCTTCCTAAACGGTCTTGCGGAAGGCCTTGCCGAACGTGTACAGGCCAAACAATGAGATCAAGCTAAGGGCTACCGGGACAGGCTTGCGGAGCCGGATAGCTCGGGGAATGGAGGAGCCACCGAGGATGACCGACGCGAGCAGAGCAAGCTCAACGCCGTAAGGTTGGCGCGTTTGTACGCGGTAGCCGCCGAGACCATCTGCAGATTGGAATTTAGTACCCAAGTTTTGTCAGCCTCAATGATCCATTGTAATGATTGTATACGTACATAACAGGCCGACTGTCACACCTGCGGCGATTGATGGCACGGAGCCGGTTCGGACGTAGCCCACTGCAACGGCTGGAGTCAGTAATTACTCTTTCAGGCAGTTCTGGAACTCTCCAAACATGCTCCTGGAACACGCTCCCGAGACATTCAGGAGCCTCAAGGTACTATAACGGGAAGAAAATGACTCCAGGAGTTGCTTACTGGTACCGCCGCCTGCCGTTAAAGCACCGAGGATGTAGGCGATGTTCTCTAGAGAAGACTACGTGGCCGGAGAAGAAAGTTGTTTAGCTCTTGTCTATGAAATCATGACTGCACCTACTCACCATTTTGGTATGTACAATTGATGCGCGACGATGGTGAATTGATAGTCTGATGTCTAATATGCGCTGCAACTCTTCACTTAGACTTCAATAAGACAGCAATATAAAGAAGGCTCGGACTCGCATAGCGGATGACCACCGAGGGAATGCGGAGCTCTCCAATGACGCTCACGCTGGACGGACAAGGATGGACTTAGCCCAAGTGGGTCTAACGGTCTGGGGAGTGGCTGAAGCTCTCTATCACTAGCCACACGTTCCTTATGGAAACTCGAGGTTCTTGTCTTCTGATTCGTCACTTCTTCCAAGTTGGGATTGTAGCTGTCGTGTCCCTTTGGCTGCTGCGCTTGCATGCTCCAAACCAGCCAAATTTACAGCTTAAACTGGCAATCACGTCCAGACTGGAATTAAACCAAATCGCAATCCACGACACCCTACCAAACCACACCAACCAATTCTCACAAGGCCTATTTCTCACCACTACAGCCAAAGGACCGCATCCCTCCGCTCCAATGGCACCCAAGAAGTCCGCGACGGCCGCCAGTGGCCCAGCTACCGCCAGCGCCACATCTACGTCGGCCTCGAGCAGCAGCAGCAGCAACAGCAGCCTCGACAAGATCGCCGCAAACATCGTGCAGCACTACCAGAAGACGACGCCGCAGCGCACGAAGCTCATCGACGCCTTCATGGCCTTCCTCGTGATCGTCGGCGGCATACAGTTCGCGTACTGCGTCTTGGCGGGGAACTACGTACGTTTCTCTGTCCAGCTCTCCCCAGCACATCGCACTTCGGGCTGCTGCTTAAGCAGCTTGATAAGGAATGATGGAGTTGTTAGCTAGTGATATAGGAGATGTGCGTATGAAGTGACGCAAGAATTAAAGCTAACTTTTGGTGGACTTATAGCCCTTCAACGCTTTCCTCTCAGGCTTCTCCGCGACTGTTGGACAATTCGTTCTTACAGGTACGTTGCTTCGATCTACGCCGGAATACTGCATGCAGGGCCGTGCAAAGAGAGACCAAGACACAAAAGAATGCTAACCAGGAGACAGCGTCCCTGCGGATCCAAACGACCGAGGCCAACAAATCCGAGTTCCCAGCCGTGTCACCAGAGAGGTTCGTTCGCCCTGTCCCGCCCCGTCCCGTCCCACCACATACACGAATTCTCCCAATCTTTCTACACAGCTTCCTCTTACTAACATTCGGCCCTCATGCAGAGCATTTGCGGATTACGTTATTGGCAGCTTGATCTTGCATTTCTTCTGTATCAATTTCATAAACTGAGGCGGGCCCGGTACGAAAATGGTACTTGGAACGGCGCAATGGGGCCGGGTTCATGCGCAAAAAAGATATAAAATCAAAAATAAAAAGAGATAGGCTCCCAAAAGGAATGTTGATATATGCGTTTAAAGCCCATTTCAGCATCCGTGTACAGGTAGCTAAGCAAGAAAGCGATGCCTTGCAGAATTACAATGAGACACTAGGTGCCTACTAGATAGACAGGCTTTTGTTCAATTACGTTTTATGTGGCTCACAAGTTGCTGAGACTAATAATATCCACACATCCCTGGTTTACAATACAGTCTCAACTTTCCGCCTCACCATCAGCAGGCGCCTCTTCTGCCGTAGGAGGCGGTGGCCCCGAAGCCCTGGGCGGTCCACCACCCGCTTTAGGCGGCGGAGGGGGAGGCGTCTTGCTCGCTGATATGTTGCCGTCCAACGCCCTGCTCTTCTTCTCCTCTTCGGCCAGATAGTCGTCCATAAAATTATTATTCGCGCCGTGGACATGTCTCTCTTTCTTCTTGCCTCGCGGCGGCGCACTCGTGCCTCCTCCCCCTCCTCCCCCTATCGGCGGCGTCGGACTCATCATCTCCGCCGGCACTAAGAATCCAGCTCCTTGCGCCTGCGCCGTCGGCTCGGAGGCAGCGGCCGCAGCAGCGGGAGACATGAAGCTGGAAGGGTCGCTCAGCAGCGGTTGGGTTATGGATACAAACTGCTGGCCTACGCTGCCACCGCCGCCGCTACCACCGCCGCCGCCGTCGAACAGGGTCTCGCCAGGGGCGTTCACGGGCTCGTCGAAGGGCGCGGGCAGGCGGTGGAGGGCGCCGAAGCCGAGGACGCAGCCGAGGGCGCCCTCGCCGCCCCACTCGCGCGAGGGCACGATCTCGAGCTCGCGCGTCACGTTGTACTCGTTGTTGTAGACCCACAGCCGTAAGGGGCGCCCGATGTAGTCGTCGACCAGCTCGCCCAGCCCCCCCTCGCCGTGCAGGATCCCGTCCGGCGTCCCCAGGATGTAGTCGCTGTAGGGCAGCAGGCCCGCCGCGTCGGCTGGCGAGTTCGCTGGCACGTCTAATACGTGCCAGATTGTTGATGCGAGAGAGAGCGGCGACCATTGCAGTGAGAGACCTAAGGACCCCGTTGGTGGGACTGAGAGGTGCAGGATGCGTATGCGTTGGCCCTGTATATATAAATATTTATGTGCGGTCAGCTTTCAGCTTCTTTAAGTTTCGTATGCTGTAGCTAGCTAGCTAGCTTCTTTGCATCTTTCGCTGCTCTTCTTCTAGTTTATGATCGGTACAGTACCTTTGCGCTCCATATACCGAGGCCCACGGTGCCGCCGGCGCAGTTGCGCACTTCTTGCGCGAAGAGGCGCGGGTCGGGGTTATCCTGTTGGTTGCCCATTGCCTCGTTAGGACGGACGCAAGAAGGTGTAGTGGTAGTGGCATCACAAGCCTGAATTGTTCCGTACAATCATGCGCCCGTTAATGCCCACGATGAAGTCGAACCACGGCTCGACGCCCAGCTCGAGATTCGTGTTGCGCAGCACCTGGAATCCATAGCCCTGGCCCTCCTTCTGCTGCTGGCGCGAGTCGCCGTCGAGCCGCGACAGGTAGCGGTTGAGCGCGTTGAACATGGTATCACGCTATGTGATTCAGTCGATACGCGAATCTGGGTCGTGAGGTTAGGGGTCTAGGTAAGCTTCGTGGGATGTTGGTCGTCGTGCTGGGTTGTGGTAGGTTGTGGTTGTATGTTGAAGCTAGGACAGCTGGAGCTACGTAAGGTAACTTAAGTTCAAGTACCTATAATTGGTGGCGTGCCCTAGCCTCACACAGGGAGCTCCAGAGCATAGGCCGCCTGCGCTATGCGTACCCGTTCAGTGGCCTGTAACGCCCGCCTTGGCACCTACTCACCACTAAAATTTCACTTCATGGCAAGTATCAAAGTTAACTGCCGCAGCTCTTACTCATCTTATGCTTTTAATCCTATCTAGCAAGCGTACTGGTTCAACTTCCATTCGAATTCTGAAATATTCTATCGAATAGCTTATCTTTACGACTTCTCTTCAGATGAAGACAGTGAAAAGTCTCCCCTTGACGGACCAGTGCCATCATTGGACTCATCTTGGTGAGGTACCATGGGACTTGCAAAAGTTAGTACTTGCCAACATATCTTCTTCACTTTTTCTAGCGAGATTTTGATTTCTTTCCTCCTTCTTCGCCCTCCTTCATACCTACGGTCATGCTAACAGGATTTCTTACAGATACTGGCAGCAGAGATACACAATATTCCCATCTTATGACGATGGCATCTATATGACCGAAGACGCGTGGTATGGCGTG